CTCATCCAGTACCGTGTGCAGCTCTCCAGTCGTGCAGCTCCACTCTGCAGCCACCAGATGGAACCATGAACCGTAGAAGCTGAGCCAGTAAACCAACTGTTGCACGAATTCACGCAGTCAGCTGGAGATCCAAGGAGGACTCAGCATCTTCAAATGTATTTTGTCCTTGAAGCATTTTGTTAGAATTAAATAAACGTGATTCACAATCCATTATTTCATGTTTTAGTGAGGCTGTACAAAAACTGATGGTGAATTTAAATGTAGAATAACTTTATATTAATGAAGGCACCTGTGATGTGAATAATGACCGAGACGTAAAGAGGAATGCTTGTTCCTGAGTTTCAGGACAGTAACCGGAGTACCGAGAGCTGGATTGTGCCTTCTTTAAGTAACAACCACCAGAGAGGTGAGAAAGACTGAGCTCCAACTGTATACGTCCAGCTCGTAGAACGCATTAGCAAATGTAGGCTAAATAAATAAGTGATCGAGCAGTAACCGTATATTCTGCGAGGGATCAACGTGGCGCATGACATCATGCACCGGTTGTGGGTAAAGTCGCACCGCCGCTCTGCTCCGGTGTCCCCGGTCTCTTTTTCACACAGTCCTGGATGAGATGATTGAGTTTCTCTCTTTTCCTTGTCAGTCCGGTCCAGCTTCACCAGAACCTCACGGCACACTATCGGGCATCACTTGTTGAGGGGCCCCGTTAACAAGTTGGCATTTGGATTAGGTTCAGGAGAGGCCGACAGTAACAAACCACCGGAGATAACGAGCTTTTATTTAATCATGAAAGACGCAGGATGCTGCCAGAGACCAGGACAAACAGCTGCTGTGCGTAATCCGTGCGTAAACGCCATGATCCAAGCCTGTTGTCCTTATTATTACCACAGTTCCTTCAGCATAAACCTGATTATATCAGCACTAAGAAACAGCACCGAATAAAAACACATATTTAGGAGGTGAATATGCTGCGCGCATGGATTTACAAACCGTGCCAACGACGAATTTGCAAGTCAGTCAGTCTTCTGATCCCCTCACCTACATATCTTTAACCTCACCTTCATCTGATCTTTGATCATATTTTACCTGACTACAGAGTCCATATGACGGGATCTTTGTCCTCAGACCATTAAATACCGTTTAAGACGATCTTTACGCACAAGTCATGGCGCGGCACCGGGGCAACATTACCTGCTGCTGTGCGCCAGCTGACTAGCAGAGCTCTGCCAAGATTCGCTCGTGCATCACGCACGCACATTAAGTAGTTGACTTTTAATATGAGAAAGGTGGCCCGGGGCTATTGTGCCCCCTTTGGCGATAATTAAGAATATCCCCGAGTGTCAGGTTCCACCTATTTGGATACTGGCAGGACGTAGGTGTGGTTCCATGGTGTAATGGTTCCATGGTGTAATGGGTAATGGTTAGCACCCTGGACTCTAAATCCAGCGATCCGAGTTCAAATCTCTGCGGGACTTCACCCGTTTAATAGGGGCGTTTTAATGTTGTCTGAACTACTTCCTCCAGGCTGAGCATCTTGTGTATCCTCCACCTGCATTGCTGCTGTGTACCACATGCCTTCAGCTAACCTCACACCGAGGAGAGAAATAACCTTCTTTTCCTGCGTCCTGCTGCAGTGGCCATTCTCCCAGGGATGTGCTTAATGACCCCTGAATCTGTTTGTGTGTCAGAGGCGCTGGAGGCCACAGACGCCCTCAGAAAAGACAAACTGAACTGGTCGCTCTGCAACTGGAGAGAGACAAAGACCCAGAAAGGAGGAAGAAGCAAAGTCAGCAGATGGAATAAATGATCGAACTGCAGCTCTGTGTGACTGTCATGACTTCTGACTCCACAGCTCTGTTTTAATGATGCATGTGAACACCTGGGACACTGCGCGTTATGCCTCATCATCAGCATCAGCAGAGGGTGACCTCGGGTCTCTTCATCAGCACAGTTGACAAAGCATTTAGCGCGGCTGCCCCCCGTCAGTGTCAGACGGTGAGAAGGTTACAAACACCGGCGTCCCTGACATTCACCGATGAGCACGTGTTTGGGGTCACAGTGCCTTTAGTTGGAGATCACCGGACTGAGTGTCTGAGGACCTGGTGGTTCTACAGAGCTGCTTCATGGCTGACCTCTGAATCAGCCGGTAATCTTGAGCCAACGCTGTTCTGTTGCAGCCAAGGAGAGATGTCATCCCTGCGCAGGACTGTTCAGTTGACATTACATTTCCAATATTTCACCTCAGATGTAAGGATAAGGGCGTATTTTCAGGGCTGTGGCTCAGATGTGCTCGTCTGGGGACTGCTGCCTGTAAACGGATATCTGCATGGGAGGCTGGGGAGGGGGGCAGAAACAGCAAGAGAGGGAGAAAAGGATGAGAGAGAGAGACTGCAGTTACATTACAGCCTCCCTGCATTTACTGTACTGTATAATTGTAGAGGTGAGAGGAGGGGTGTTGGGATGACAGGAGGGAGTGGAGGATGGGAAGAAGAATGCGCTTTTTAACTTAATTTGCTATTTACAAGGGCGTTACAGATGTCCACGGTCCGTCTCTCTGCCCCTGGGCGTTATAAATAGTAAAGGTTAATTAGTTAGCTGAGAAATTGGATCAGGGGCGGGCAGTTAGAATTTGATCCATAGACAGGTAACTCAAGCATTCCCTATTGTCACAGCAATCAGACCTATATAAATCCGGCTTGACGGACAGCAGTCACCACATAGCCTTACCTCTCCGCTGGATCACCGACCTGGGCGAGAACCCCTGAACACGGTAAGTTGCTGGCTGGATGCTGGAAGGCTTTTTAAACGGGAAGAGACTTACTTCTTTTTTACTTGTTTTAATCGACTCTGTAGACGGATTTAGCCTTAGTTTCTGTGCTTTTAGCGCGCGTAAGAGCACCTCAGGGGCGGAATGGTTACACTAAAGGACGAATGTTTTCGTGCGTAAAAGTGAGAATTTCTGGCGCAAAGGGGGACCAAAGCCAAAGCAAGAAGGGAAAAGTTTAATTTATGATTTTCAATCTGCAGGAGACGGTTTGTAGAAATGCCGGGGCTATTTATTTATTTAAATACCTGTATGATGCTCTGTTGTCTCCTGGTTCGCTCCTGCGCTGACTTTATCGTCACTTGGACATAGTTTGCGCTCCATCAGTGACAACTTAGAAGGTTTGTGCTGCACCTGGCTTAATGTTTTAATAATTCACCATGGCTGTTCCTCCTACAGGAATAAAATGTCGCTCTCATCTATCCTTTCTGCTGATGCCATCGACAGTGCTATCAAGGACTGCCAAGGTATCGTTTTCCACCAATATATATCAAATATATGTACAGTGTGTGTGTGTGTGTGGAGCCCAGCCAGCCGAAGGACAAAGGAGATGTTGCTGTAAGATAAGCAACTGGAAGGCTGCAAAACTAGAAAACAGACATAATGCACATGGAGCTGTTGTACAAGGTTAAAGTTAAATGACTTTATGAGCATCAGCTGGACCAGATTTGATCTTAGTTTTAACACTGCAGGTGAAAGATCAAGTAAACTGATCTCTGAACTGAAATGTTTTTAAAAATAGCATTTAATTCTTTATACACGTGAACTCCTGAGCAAGAAGACTGTGTGTCGTAAATCATAGTTAATAACACCTTGTCACTTACATGTTGTGACTATAATTTAAACACTTTGAGGATTTGCAGATATGACAGCGCTGCTGCTGTAATTCTAGTCGAGTCGTAAACTTCAGACATGACTCATGAAAATATCGATGTTTACAAACTCACTGTGACTTCTCCTTCCAGCTCAAGACTCCTTCTGCCCAAAGAAGTTTTTCCAAATGTGTGGCCTCTCCAAGAAGAGCCCTCAGGATGTGAAGAAGGTCTTTGGGATCCTGGACAACGATGGCAGTGGTTTCATTGAGGAGGAAGAGCTGAAGTGAGTGAACAGCCGGTCCACAGACGACTTTCTGTGTGCTGTGTCCGGGATGTAAAGGGTCAGCAGCCCCAACAGACCAGAATCAAAGGTGTTCCTGGAAACAGAAGCTGATTTCAGTCACAGTTTTCATAATGTAGAGGATGTAGAGAGGAGACGTCATCCAGCACCAGTTTGTGCAGCTTTTCAGGCCCAACATAGAAGGTCGGACTCATGTTGTTCTCCAAACGTCATGTGAAACTGACTTCAGTAACAACAACACAATCATCACTTCCGTATTTTATCAGCTGTCAGAAAATAGCAAAAACAAGCCTGAAAACCCCTTCAGGCCCTGTGTACAGGAGCTGTCTACTTCCTGGAAGTCCTCCGGCTGTAGAGCAACACACAGCGCAGCACTAATGCCTGAACCGATGCAGGAACCTTTTGCTTGACAGATCTGCTGAACCGAAGAGAAAAATCAACACTTGTCATAATTTGCACATGACTTCTGTCGGTAATTCTTTGACATGTGCATGTGTAGTCTTCGCCATTCATCCAGGTGTAACTGAAGAACACCTCTAACTTGTGTCTCTACAGGTTTTTCCTCCAGAGGTTTTCTCCTGGAGCTCGTGTTCTGACAGACAAGGAGACCAAGGCCTTCCTGTGTGCCGCCGATGACGACAGCGATGGTCGGATTGGAGCAGATGGTGAGGAGATTTTGATTTCATGTGTAGTTTCAGAACTTGGATGAGCAGAAGTGGCCAGGAGAAGAAGGCGTAGAGGCCATCTGTGGCTCTAGATTTATATAAAAGTGCATCTTCCTCACACTGTCTCGTCTGTCCACAGAGTTCCAGGCCATGGTCATGTCCTAAACAGCTGGACTCCATCTCTGCACCTGGACCTGGTCCCCCTGCCACCCTTATCTGACCGCTTCAAGGGCTCCTAGTTTATCATTTAGTCATTTTCCAACTGGTTAGATAAAACCTTTTGATTATTTTGCAAGACTCACTCCGGCTCACACACGTCTACATCCTCGTCATCTTTTTATTTTATTTTCATATGTTTTAGACAGACCATTAACGCTGTACCGCCCAAATAAATGTACACTTTACCAAATTACTGAGAAAATAAAACAATAAAACCCAAGTTCTGTGGCTGTTCTCATCATTTGTTAAGGTTCACACGTTGAGATGTTTCTGTATGTTCTCGGCTCAGATGTGGTCTGTGTGAAAGTCGAGGCTTCAACATAAAGGAAACCTGAGACACACCTCATGGGATCTGTATGAAACACACACACACAACCTCCTTTACAGCTCTGAAGTGTCCTTAAATCTTCACTTACCCTGATCTAGCACAGCGGTAAATGAGCCTGAGTGTCAGGTGTACGAGAGCGAGCGCTGCCGCGTTTGTGACCGAGTGTTCAGAAAGCAGAGGTCACCTTGATGACCACCTGAGTGTCACCGTGGTCGGATCGAGTGACACCTGACCTCAGCTCTGTAAACAAACCCAGCTGAGCCTCGGCGCTGCTCAGGCGAGGCAAACAAAACACACACTCACACAAAACCCCGTGCATTTGCAAAAAATCAAATATGAGATCAGACGGCCAGCCATGCAAACAGCGAGTGTGTGTTTGTGTTTCGCACACAGGAAACCAGAGCGCCAAGTCTCTCTGATGGCTCAGAGGAGAATCAGTTAGTGCACTCAGCCCAGTTCTCAGACAGAAGCTGGACCATCTCACAGCGCTGCAGCCCCCCGGAGACTTTAAATAGTACAGATTCTTCATTCTGTGCACTTACAGGATTCACAGGATTAAAATTAACAACTACCTCACCGCTCACACACCCACCAGCAGCGCCAAAACACAGAGTAGAGTTTTTTTCAGAGCTTCCACTCCGGTGCCATTCCAATTATCCGTATATTACAGGGAGAACCCGACTATTACAGCAGACACCTGCTACTCAAAGTGCATGAGCAGACCTGGTATTAGCATGAAGTCATGGTCACAAACCGAGGATGTGTGGTCATCCCTTCTGTTTGCTGTGAGTTCCGCTGGGCGCTTCGAGGCCTGTGTGTTTCCTTTGACTGAGAAATTCACTGTCAAATAAACAAACAACATTAGAATTTTTATACAGAGTGAAAAAAACTTTAACGATAAAAATGTCGTCATGAAGTGAAAACGATTTTCTGCTCACAGTGCAATAATGTGACTAAACAGTAGATTGAACCTTTGAGACCCGACATGAGTGTAGAACCCAAAAAAGGCAGACGGGCTGACAACAGAGAGCAGATCTAAAGGTCTAAATGTACACTTTGGCATGAAATCAGTGTGTTTAGTCTGCAGTGATAGCGGTGAGCTGGACGGTTTGAGGATGAGGTTGAGCTGTCCAGATTCTGATGCTCTCAAAGGACTTTAAGTATTCAGAAGCAAATGAGCGTTGGCATAAAAGGCTGCAGTGGTCTCTTGGCATGTTCTCAGCACAACACAACATTACTGAGGTGCACACCGTTTGAACTTGACTGCCTTCCTTAATAAAAAGTCCTAAACTAAAGCAAAACAAGCATCCAAACCGTGATGTTTCTCTGCTTAAAATGTGCCTTACATGTCCGGTGATCCTGTTCATCCTGCTGCAGTAGTGAATATATCTGATGGCAATAATACTGCTCATGTAGTATATTATCCTGTAACATACTGTAGATTTCACTCTGTGAATAATGCACTTTACTGCTGTTCTGATGAGATGATGAGCTGCGTTTGCTGTCTTTGTACTCTGTGTAACACCAACAAGGTTGAATCTAAACTTTATGATTGTGCACTTTAATCAAATTTACAGTAGAGAAGACCGATCTGGGGGAAGATCTGTAACTGCGATTGTTATTCTGACAGATATTTAGAGTTTATTTGCAACATAATTTGCTAAAGTCTAACTTTAGTTGAGCATCCACAGTGTGATAGACCTAAAACATGTAGAGCAGCACCACTACTGTTCACCGTCACACACGGAAGACGGCATGAATCTGTAAAAGCACTGACACAACGCTTTAAACCCAGGTCAGGTGCACTGCATAATGTATATTCTGAGCTGCAGCCTTTGCGATTTGCTAAGTGCACTGCTTCAAATTGCGATTTCAATTTGAAATTGATTACCTGTCCAGCCCCTAATTCACAGACAACAAGCTGCACCAAGCTGCTGGACTGGCACAGCGAGGCCTGGAGCTAATTAGACCATCATGTATCCATATCTGATGCTATCGCCGCCGGGCCTCATCTCTGAAGACGTGAGCGCGGGGCGACCACGGGGCTGACAGCTCGGGGAAGCCAGTCGGTAACACAAGCCGGGGGACTCACAATGGAGCCATGACCCCCGCGGGTCAGGAGCCGCAAGTGGTAAACAGGAAGGAAACGTGAGCCAACAGGTCGACGCTGACGGCTGGATGTGCTGGTGTGGGACAGCAGAACAAGATAATGTGACAAGCAGATTACCTGGACTCAAGGGCAGAGAGAAGGGAGAGAGAAGGCAGAGAGAAGGGAGAGAGAAGGGAGAGAGAAGGGAGAGAGAAGGGAGAGAGAAGGGAGAGAGAAGGGAGAGAGAAGGGAGAGGCTGTAGACCTGCTGGACGACGTGAGAGAAACGACAAGCAGCAGCAGCTTCTGGAGGTGAACATGGAGGAGGTGTGAAGTCAGAAAACAGCTTTTTAGATCTAATGTACACATTTTCAGCTGAGCTCCTCTGTACTGTTAATTCTGATTAAACCAGGAAGCAGCTTTAAGTGGCAGCGTAAAACAAAATGGTGCATTGGAAACATCAGTCTAGAGATGATAAAAAGAACGAACACATTTTGGAGATTCGTCATCCAGTTCCGTGTTCAGGGGTTGAAACATCCTGAGTGAGGTCACGGGGCTGAATCCAGCGGTATTTAAAGAATCTGTGCAATAAAATATGGAAGAATCACTTTATTGCCCATCAGGGGGAAACTCTGCTGGAATGAAGTGGCCACCACCATAGAAACATAGAAAACATCACGGAAATATAACAGAAAAATAAACTATGACTAAAAATTGTATTGAATTCTAAACTGCCCTGTGCTCATGTATCCGTCCAGCTCAACAGCATTCGTGTATATTTGCTGTTTATTTGTGTTTCTGCTGGTGTTCCACCTCCTCTCTGGATCAATAAAGCGCCGTCTTATCTTGAAACAGTAGCAGCCACTGATGTGTCGCATTAGGCGCCCAACAAGCTCGACAAAAGACTAAATAAAGCCGGTCAGCAGCCTTCAGTTATCTCTTTAAGCATTTTGCTCTGCCACGTCAGGATTAGGCCTGTGGGATGCTCGGGGCCGGGCTGCTTGTCTGTACGGCTCCTCAATAATTGATGTCCTCGCTTCATTGTCACCAAAAACTCATATCAAGGAAGGAGTGTCAGGCTCACCTTACTGATTAGGTCTGTGTGAAACTTTAATGTGCAAACCATCTTCAGCTGATAACAAACTGATGATCAGAGCACGGATCGAACCGTCCGGGCTGCGCCGGGACCAGCACCGCCAATGACCGGACCCATTCCCGGGGTTCTGGAGGCTGCAGGTCCCAGGGATGCTGCTACCTGATAGTCTGAACAGGGAGGAACGTCGTGAAAGATTTAACTGCCGTGTTAGGATGCCTGAATGGGCTTTGTGAGCTCTGTGCAGGAACTCTATCCATAATGCAGAGGATGACAGCGCTGCCTCTGTTCCCCAGCAAGCATCAGTCCTGAGCCTCTGCTTATGATGTCTGTGTGCAGCTTCTCTTCATTAATGAATGATGGGCCGCGCACATATCAATGGCCGCACCTCACTCACACGGAAGGCGATTTCTCCAAATCTATTTCCACCTGGGCTCCAGCCTATTGTTGACATCGCTGCTAATTGATAGGTTTTTACATATAATTGGAGCGTCTATTAACTAGACTAATGCAGGCTTGCAGCTTGCAGCGGAGGCCGCGCCCTGCCTAAAGCCGGAGCAGCTGCTGCCTGCTGACGCATCCTCAGACTGAGTAATGGCTGTCATGAGGAGGGAGACAGGTACTTTGCAGACTTTTCCAAATGAGAAGGCACAATCAGATAAGATGGCAAGTGTCATCTAGGACAAACTTACTGTGAATAATGGAGGCAAGACGTCTGGCTGCAGAGGCCGCAGCTCCAGCATGTTGGTGTCTGGGAGCAGTTTGGCTGGAAAACATCTGACAACACTCAGAAAACACTTACACATGCTGCAAACTCAGGCCACAAACACTAACAGCACCGCTACAGTCACCACTCATAGTTCTGTTTGACAATCTGAACCAGTAGTTTTTGTTTATTTCTGTGTTGTCCTGATATAATGTCTGCACTGTCCCCACCGTGGGACTAATAAAGGTTCACTGTGCTGTATGGAACTATATTGTATTTTATCGTGTTTGTGTTGTTTTTAAAAGTCTTAATCTCCTAAAAGCTGCACCAGCACAACCATCCCGACTGTTCTCATTCTGTGATGTTTACAAAGAATTGTTCTTTTAATGCTGTTTGATTGTTGCACAGACTTGACAGCAGTCACTTTTTAATCAGATATATTTAATAATTATATTATAATATATTAGAATTATTTTTAACTATTATAATAATTATTTATTTATATTTGTCATATATCCTCAGTGTTCTTATCTCAACAGTGCAGTATATTTATTCTACCGTGTGGCTGTTACCGTGCTCATTCCTGACTGTATATACTTCCTACTGGCTCCTTCTGTAAATATATTTATATGTTCTTATTTGTGGTATTTTATACTTGTGTGCTGCACCACTGGAGTTGTCTTTTAATGTCGTTGTACTTTGTGTCTGTTCTGTTCTTTTCCCTGCAGACTGTAGAAGCACATAAACACTCCTGCACATCCAGAACCACTATTCACTCCTAAACTCTGACGTCTTGGCTGTGCATCTGAACATGTGCACTCTGTGTTTTATAAACGGTGAACCACTTCAGGCCATCTCTCAGCCCGGTACGACTGACCCGGAGCACCGGAGCAGTCCATGTCCTCGCTGCTCTCCTCCCATGCAGCCTGGCTGCCTGCCGTGTGCTACATGACTTAAAGTACTCCTAAGAACTGTCAGGTTTCAGCTCCGCCTGTAGTCTCAGTTTCTAGCTCAGGTCCGAGCGGCCACCAGATCCGACCATTACCTCAGCAGAACCGTCAGGTCGGCCTCAGCATCCCATCCTCCTCCTCCTCCGTCACCTCCTTCCTCCCTCTCTGTGCCAGACTTCAGCGAACAGTGAATAATTCAGGGAGAACAAGCGGTTGCAACTCACTTGTGCAGTTTTTCATTAACCCTCTGCGGCGGCGGCGGCGGCAGGAGAGGAAAGGATGTGGCTCGAGTGTGAAACAGGACGAAGCTGATCCCGGTGACGGAGAGGTGACAGAGGCCTGTCAGAGCTGGATGTGCAGCTCGGTTTGATCCAGCTCACCTGTGATCACCTGTGACTGAAGAACGAGATAATGGAGATTGACTGGTGTTAGAGGTTGAACTGAAGAAATGAAGCTGTCAGAGTTCAAGTGTCTGGTTTTGTTCAGCTTCTGATCCACAGAGCATCACAGAGATGTTGATGTCAGAGGAGACATAAACTTAAAAACTCCCCAAACTGCCACAGCAGACTGTAAATACACTAAGATCAGCTAAATATCATTCACCTGTCTTCCTGTCGTACTAACGATAACTGTCAAAGTTACACAACAACCAGATACTGAAGGGATGCTGTGTTCATGGTTATCACAACATCCATCGATGCTGAAAAAACACAGCAAAATATAACAACTGATTCTATACTCCAGATGATGACGGAGTGCCGCTAATGCTTGACGAACTGCAAACATGTTGATTTTATTGGACCCTTCTATTAAAGTTTATTGATCCTTTCGTCCACCATGTTGGACAGAAAACCGCTGCAGCACTGCTCTCTGCAGGCTGAAATCTGATAATATGCTGCCCTGAGAGGAGATATAAACCCAAAAAACAGCTTGTTAGCTTGTGTATCAAAGAATCAGCCCTGGCTAGCGGCACTGACGGCGATGTGTGAAGTATTTACATCGTTCATTTAAGTAACAGCAAAGTGAAAATACTCATTTTCAAGTCCTGCATGAAAAACCCTGCTCAAGTAAAAGTATGTAAGTAAAATAAGGAAAATGTAGCTGAAGCATTAAATTATTGGTCTGGTCCCTCGGATGGATGGATGGATTGAATACGACCTCGTTAGATGATCAATAGTGAAGCATCAGTGTGCAGCGGCTGCAGGTGGAGACAGTCTGAACTACTCCGAGTACAGCTTTAGAAACACATGCAGCAGATAAATCTGATCAAAGACAAAAAAATAATAGTAATAATTCTGATACACAGAACTGAAGTTTGCAGAGTTTTTCTAGAATCTTTGAAGAGTTTGTTTTCAATAACAGATAACTCCATGTCTGTAGATTTTAAGAAAATGTACTTTTTGTTTGCTTGAAATAAAATCAGTCAGACTGAAGTAAATGACAAAAACAGAGATAACTGGTGTTTGATTGATGTTGTTTCAGGTAGATGATGGAAAAGTGGGTTTTCTGAAGGTTGGTGAAGATGGAGTGATCTGTTTCTTTGAATGAACTCTTCATATATGATATTGCATTCAGAATATTTCCATTTGAAAAGAAATCGACATTGTTCCTGTCCAGGTGTACTAAAGGCCTTGACAGGAGTTCTGGTTTCCTCTGGTTCTGTTTGGTGTAATGGTGATAAAAGTGTAACGAACTCTTCTGTTTCTGACCCAACAGTCCGAACCTGAACTCCTGCTCAGGACATGACAGAATGAGACATTATGCTGTGGCGCCCTCTAGTGTTGTGTGCTGGACACACAAAGAGACGCGTGGTGGCAAGAACGCTAACAGTAAAATATTAAAATAATAATAATAATAATAATAGAAATAAAATTGATCTGTAGCATTGGAAACACGACATTATCAATGGTTTATTCAAGGAGTATTCCACACAAAGTACTCTTGATGTCCAAGTACTGACAGTTTCAATGGTTATGCCACTCAAAATACTCCTTTTAGTTTTAAAGGTTCATTTTTAGGGTCCGAGCACAAACAGTGCGTAGGACCCTATTGGAACTGCTCGGGTTTTTATTATTATTCCGCACAAAGAAACGCGTTTTTGAGGGCCTAAACGTACTCACACACACACCAAACTTGGCACACACATCAGACCCGGCGAAAAATTTTATAATTAGGGGGAAATACACACCTCAATAGAAAAATGGCTCAACAGCGCCCCCTACAAAGTTTCAAAAAATGGGCCCCCGAATACACTTTAGCATAGAGCCACGAAATTCGGCACACACATGTAACAACTCGTGACGCACAAAAAAGCCTCAAGAACACATACCAGAAACTCAACAGGAAGTCGGCCATTTTGAAAAAAATGGTGGTTTGTGGCCGAAAAACGGCCATTTTTGGACATTTTCAAAATCTATCTCCTCCTCGGGGGTAAGTCGTACACACCTGAAAGTTGGCCAGCACAAACTACAGGAGGTGGTGACTACACGTTAGTGAAACGGTCCGCACAAGCGTGGAAATGGCGCCCCCCTGAATTTGGTCACAACGCCATAAAACACCAGAATACGAGACGTGTTGTGTAACTGGCCTGTGTGTGCTGCGATCGGCCTGAAATTTTACACGCATGCTCTGAGTCTCAGCCAGAGCACGTTTCCGCCACGGGCAACACGCACGCCGCCGCGGCTCGCCACTAAACAGGAAGTGGCTCGTAAC